GCTGTGGCCAAATTGTTAATGGATTGGTTATAGGGAATACATGAATTGCCTATTACAACAGCTCCCCTGGCTGCTAGTCTGTTTCTGCCTACAATTCAAAGTACTCATGCTACCTTTAGGACCATTGTCCTATTTTAGCCTTCCTAAGCTTTAAGATCTTTCTAGTGGACGAGGTGGGGAATATCTTTTGATCCATCCTCTCAACACATTTACATGAAACATAGGACTGGGACTTTGTTGTGGCTCCATTCCTAGAGAAGCTAGTATGGTTCCCTCTTACTGCTCTTTTGTTTACAGGTGAATGTCTTTCTATTCCTGCCGGAGTTTGGGAACTTACTGTTCTATATGGAAAGAGCTATTTTTTAAAAAAATAAACGCTGTACTATTTTTATTCTTTGCTTTCACATTATTGCCTAGTTTCCTGTTAGTTATTCAAAGGTAAGTCTAATTTAATTCTGCATAACTCACATTTTTGGTTGTTTTGTTGGTCAGAATCCTTTACCTTTTCATATAATGACCAAAATCTCCTGTAACTCATTTTTTCATGCTGACTGCCCCTGACATAGCCATATAATTGCTGGTGTAAAACGGGATGTCTGAGAAGCATGTTGCTAAGTCCCTACAGCCAAGTGTACAATGATGACTTTGTCCTCTAGGACATCCAGAGGACACTTTCATTGTCAGGCTGTAGGGGGACATAGATACTTCTCAGGTGTACTTCCTGAGGCACTTTATATGGCTGTGTCAGAGGCAGGCAGCATGAAAAATTGGGTTTACAGCACAGGAATCAGGAGATGTGGCTTAATTATGCCTGTCTCCTATGATGCAGGATCTTGGCCATTGTCTTAAATTCTGTAGCCATTTTAATATTATTTTGATTTTACCTTTTTGTACATTTGTAGCTGCAACTGTACATTTGAATTTGTTTTTATGTTGTAAGTTCCCAAAAAAGTTCCCAGTTTTGGGGGAAAGATAGCATATAAATTGAGTGAGTGATAACCTTTAGGGTACCTCCAAAAAGTCATTTTGGGATTAAAAACCAAAAATTGATAAAAATGCCTTTGTGGATCTTTAAAAGGATGTTTTGAAGGGTGTCCAAAAAGGCAAATGGGAGTGACACTTCTAGTCATCCCAAAGGGCAGCCAGTTGTCGCTCCTCCAGGTTCCATTTTAACTCATTTTTTAAGATCGTACTGGAAATCCTTTACAATGGAAGTGACAGTTTCATTTAGTCTATGAAGCTTACTAATAAATCCACATATCTGGAATAGAGGCATCTCCTTTGTTAAAGTTGACTCCTCTCTAAAGATACAGTACTACAGCTTCTTATAAGAACTAAAACTTGTTTTAGGCAACAACTACACACAAACTTAAGTAAATCCACTTTCCAAAGATTCATTTATTATTATGTACAGAATATTCAACAGAACAAAAACTGAGGTAACAGCTTTTTGTAAAATGAGTAAGACATGTTGTATTTGGTCCCCTTCATTCCTGAGAATTTGAGCATAGCTATCAGATGGAACTGATCAACTTAACTGAATGAAAACATGCAACAGGACCGCAACTCTTTCCCTCAGACAATCAAATACACACATGTACAAAATATGTTGATGGCTTTACTATTCTGGCCCACTTATGACTCTGATAATCATCTGAATTCAATGTGAAGGGTTTCCTCCCCTTTTGTATATAGTAATCAATGGAACCTCCCAGATTTCTTCTGAATAGACTTCGCTTATGGGAATTGTTTGGGGATTCAAGTACTGTTATATATTCATCGAAAGAAAGATTCTTCATCAGTCAAAAATATAAGAATCTGAGAAAAAGGTCTCCTTTTATTTTTAACATTTGTAAACAAAAAGTATGAAAAATGGCCATAGATACTGCTTCATACCTGAAGACAGGTTAGCACAAGCTGGGATGGGAAATGGAGAAAGATTACCTCCATATCATTCCCTTTTCTTGGCTTTTGCTCTTCACATGCGTCATATGGCTGTAATTCCACTCCTCCCAACTTAGCCTGCCATATTTACATGTAGCAGAACCTGACATCCACCTGAAGTCTCAAAGTATACAAGCTTTATTGGAGATCCCATTCTGTGGCACAAGTAGGAATACATCACTACCTGCTCTAAGACTGTAACCCCAAACTGTTCCTCTATTAACGACTATATCATGATGTTCAGAATACATGAACTGGCAAATTCACAAATAAAACTATGTGACTGTACATATGTATATATTCACAGAAGCAGTGTCCTTACTTGAGTTAAGACCTTGGGGATGGACATTTACAATATGTGATTAACACCATGCTAGTTTGGTTAGCACTGTACAGTTCAGGCACATGTGATGCCCTAAATGAATGATTATCTTCAGTTAGAGGACAAAAAAGAAACATATATGTTTTATTACAGCAGAAAAGTGCCTTAAATTTACATGTCATTACAGTGCTGGTCTCTGAAAGACCGAGGTTGACTTGCTACGTTGGCAGTTTCTTTGGATTCCAAAGGTCTACAAATGACAAATTTTCAAAGAGGGACTTAAGTTGAAAACAATAAAAACGATGCCTGGCATGTGATGTCAGCTTTAAATCAAATGAAATGTATGAGGATTTTAAAAAAAATTAAGCCATTTTAACCCAAATAAAACATGTTTTTCCATCCCAAATCATATACAGTAAGCTGTATATTTTAATGAAATTTGAGCAGAAAGAATGAACTGCAACATTTTGAGTTGAATGAATATATTTCATAGCACTTCTGGCTCGCTATCCAATTCAAAAGTTGAAAAATTCCATGTCAGTTGATCCCATCACTTTCTAGATTTCTATAGAACAGAAAGGAAAATTGTGAGGGAAAAGCTGTATTGCAACTTTTAGTCACACAACAGAATGTCATCCCTCTGCCCCCACATCTACTTCGGAGGGTTTCCCAGAATAGGAGGAGAAATTTGCCATTTGTGTCTGTTGTCCTCACAGATGGACAAAGTTGGATAACCAATTTAAGAATTACTAAATGGAATATATTAGTTATAATTCTTTTCTCAAAAAATAAAAGTATGATATTATTACTGTAACTTAAGTGAACGTATGTTTAAGCCATACCTGTAACTTTGTAATTATCTTACTATAGTTACGGAATGTAGCCTGAAAGAAGAAAGACTATGGTACTTCATAGTATGAGTGGTTCTGGAGATTGAATTGACAAGGAAGCAGACAACATGAATGCTTTGCACTACAAATCAGGGATTTGTAGGATTTAGATTATTTTTTTTTTTGTAAATAAAGTTACTAAAATGTAAGTTTGCTATTTTTATATTTTAAAATTTTAGTTATAGTTATATACTTAATGGATTTTAAAACATTGCTTTAAAATTACTTAACAACACATTAAGAGGCTCCTACTATTAATAGCAGGTATGCAGTCTTTACAAATTGGGGAAGATAGATTACATAAGTCTTCACTCTAGCTGTTGAGGGTTGTGCTGACTATCTGCTAGTTTTCATTCCAGATAGAAAATTTTGGTTGAGTAAAAAATTATCCTGAAACCCACTTTGCAAATACTGTGTTTTTCTTATCATAAAGCAGTTTTGTCTTTGTCCCTGTTCATGTGCTAAATACCAGCATGGTATCATAAGTAAGGCACTTTCAGATAAGCAAATATTTTTTGTCATGAATGCCAATATATTTGTAAAATATGGAATTAATTTCAAAATACATAGTTTGTATTTTTATTGTTGATCCTCACTACACAAATTCTTTCAAGGTGGAGAACTAACTGATCAAGATAGAAATTCAGACAATTTTTTTTTCAGCTATTGGAGATTTTTAAGCCTATTGCCACAAAGATAATCACAATTCTAGCCATATAAAAACAAAGACATACCAGGGCTTTCATTTGACAATAGGTTCTGCAGAAATAGAGTTGGACAAGTCTCCATTGGTGGTTTTTCCACTTTCTTCTGTAAAATAAAAGATGGGGAGTCTCACAAGAATGTGGACAAAGCAGAGCTGACTGTACAGCAAATGTCTCTTACAGAAGGAATAAGTGGAATATTTACATTCCCATCACCTAGAGCAGCTCGGGATTTTCAAGCAATTTGGAGCAAAATATAAATTTGGCTGAGGTTTTTCTAGCCACTTCTCATGGGCCTTCCAAGAAGTGCAGTGATTGCAGGGATGCTAGTAAGCAACATCACTTTTGTCTTTTAGTAGCAGTACTAGCAAATAGAATATAGACCAGTGGTTCTCAACCTTTAGATGTTTTGAACTTCAACTCCCAGACCTTCTGGCTGGGACTTCTGGGAGATGAAGTTCAAAATATCTGGAGGATCAAAGGTTGAGAACCACTGATATAGAGTATCAAAGCATGGTCCCTTTAGTACTTGTACAGTTGGGTAATCTCCATTCCATACTGCAATCCATCATTTGGAATCAAATCCCTTTGGTTTCAATGGAATATACTATTCTGAAACTCTGTTAAGGATGATATACATCCTTAGTCAATAAATGCACTGTCTGCCACACGTTTACATCTTTTGGGCTTTATAAATAATTGGCCTGGCTAAAAGTAGTAACACAACTGCATTTGGTTACAGCTCAATCATGACACTACCTAAAATTTCCATGTGGAGTTATACACTAATGACAAAAGAACTGAGATGTAAAAACAAAGTGCCCTACTTTGTAGCATACTTCCCTAGAAACTGTAGGACTTTCAGCTCACCTTCTCGATCTTTTTTCTCTTGATTTTCTTCTGCTGCAGTTTTGTCTGCTCTGAAAAAGATCCTTGCACTGCTTAGTGAGAAATGAAGTAGTTCAAACTCCTAAGGGGAGAAAAAAATAAAAATCAGCAAATGTCAATATGTTACAAAATGAGAAACTCCAATATTAGCAACTGCATACATACCAGAAACCCACAATAACTAACAGTACTGCTATATATAGTTTATATACAAATCTTCAAATAGATGTGTCATGCCTTAAAATCAAATTTGATCCAGTGTGGTGTAGTGGTTTGATGTTGGACTATGACTCTAGAGATCAGAGTTTGATTCTCTACTCAATCATGGAAACCCATGGGGTAACTTTGGGCAATTCACACACTCAGCCCCAGAAAACCCCATGGTAGGTTTAGTGTCTGTAGTAAGTCAGAAATGACTTGAAGGCACACAACAACAACATCTGCTATGTATAGTTTATATACAGATTCTTAAATAGATGTGCCATGGCTTAAAATCAAATTTGAGCAAGGGTAGACTAACCCTTGAGAACATAAGAACGCCCCCAAGAAAAAGCTGGCTAAATCTGTTTCATTAGTAATCTTGGCCTGGCTCCTGGTAATAATTCATGAAGCCTTGGGGTATTTTTTTTTTCCTTAAAGATGTTCAAAAGAATGAAAACTACAACCCAAGCCCTAAACCAAAATCATGGCAGGGTAGTGATTAAATACCAGTACTGCAGCCAACACATTAGGAGTTTGATCCTGCAGGGCTCCAGGTTGACTCCATCCTTTTGCAGCTTTGTAAAATGAGTTCCCATTTTGTTGGGGGGAATTGGCTAACACATTGTAAACTGCTTAGAGAGTGCTTAGCACTATAAAGTGGTACAAAAATGCAAGTGCTATTGCTATTGCTAAGTGCTATCATCTTTAGTGGTGGAAAATCAATACATATATGGTAAGCAGGGAACATCTCTCCCCTCCCTACGTACAGTTTTTCTAGAATGTAATTCCTTTATTTCCCTTCATGTGGAACAAAATGGATTATGCAAAGAAACTGAAGGCAGTTTTGTATAGCTAAAACTGCCATCCTATTAACATGCTATACCCTTGATAAGATTTTAATTTTTAATAACAATATTTAAGAACTCAATATGCCTTCTACAAGTCTGCTTACTTAATACCTTGGGTGAACAACTGACAAGTAACTTAAAAAAAAAAATGACGGAAACCATGCAGCTCATTGGAAACCATACCTGCAAACAAACTTCAAGTCGCTTGTGAGTAAGGTTCATAGTCTGTAGCAACTTTTCATCCTGACTAGCTGATTGAACATTCTGTTGCTTTGCTAATGCTCTTATTTCTCTCACATACTTCTCTCGTACCGACTGGAACCAGTGAAGGGAGTCAAACTCTTGATACTGATTCAAAAGTTTCAGGATGTAAGCTACACCTGCAGATTTCAGACAGATACATTCCCCAAGCAGTTAAAAGTTAAGAACATATTCTGCACATATACTTCAAACCAGCCTTTCATCATTAGTATATCAGCTTCTCATATCATATGATGTTCCAACAGGTCAGCATTAGCTCTAATTTCACCCTACATCCACACAGTTGTATGCATTTGCATTTTGGCTTCCAAGGTTGCCTTTGGTAGTGTTTGTCAGATTTTATATCCCCTCCACCCCACCCCCCAGCAGAGCTGGATCTCTGTCCACAAAATGCTCACAATCAATTTTTGTATATCTATGCACAAAGGCAATGTAGAATGACAATTTAAAACAGCATAGCAAGGAACTAAATGACAAGTTGCTAAAGTCCATTCAAGTCTTCACTTCTCTGTTTTTAGACAGACTTGTTTGCTACAGCATGCTAGGAGAAGCTGCATCCATGCAACATTTTCCCCAAACATATGGCATCCTTATAAAAGCCCTACTGTATCTGTAAAATAGCTGTAGCAAAACAACTATTAGATGTTAAGACAGCTACGTTATGAAAGGCCACTTCCCTACCCTCCTCAGGAAATTCTAATTTAAAATGTCAAGACATTTAAATTTACTGATATGCTATCTAATGATGAAAATGTCCAATAAAAAGGCATCAAGTATACATTATATAAGAGACTGCTTCACTCTGGTTCCTTCCAGATGGGTTGCTTTGCTTACTGTTTTGTAGTCCTTGGTTTGCTAGTATTACTGGTCCTTTCTTGTTTGAAACGTTTGTTTCTTTAGGGTTTTAAAAAATTTACTCCAAAAAACCAAGGATGATAACCAGGGGTGGGAGGCATGACCAGTGAAAGCTAAATACTACAACTGAATGTTTTACCAACCATCTGAATATGGAAGGAAGCAAACATTTAAAACATTGTTGAATAATGATGAAAATCATTTTGGACTAAAGAGTTTCACGTAAAGTATATTTTCCAAAGATTGTAATATTCTATGGTTATAATGTTGTTTGAGATAGATTGTTGACATAATTTACAAGTGGGAACCATTTTTTCTCAAATGATCTATTTGATATCTGTAGTGTTCATTTTCTTTGTGAATTTTTCCATTAATAAAGAATTCCATAAATGATTCCACTATTTATCTACATTGTCCTGATTTCCAATCTTGGGCTGTTTATAGCATTGTATTAGATAAAAGGGAACATATTAATTCTTTGTAGTTTAGATTTACATTGTCCTCCATAAAAACTGGTAACAGTAATAAATCTTTTGGGATGTGATACCAGAAATAATCTTAAGGATGGTCTTCCAGGAATAATAGACATAGTCACAAGATATCTACATATGTAAACATGAGCCTTCCTTGAGACAACTTCTCCAACAGAGTGCCAAGTCTTTCTTGGTAATTTTAGTGAGGAGTCTTAGGATAAGGTACTATCTATATACAAGTTTCAGAGAACTTCTCTGATGCAAAAGGGACTTGCTTTTGTTTCTTTCAATACATCAAAAACGTACTGAATATTTACTTTTTTAAAAAAGGAAGGACTACTGCACAAAGAGATAGAAAGGAGCAACTGTGGGAAATCACAAGAGAGAGTTGATCAAGGGCACAGAGGAACTCAAAGATGGGAAGTCAAACAGCAGATATGTTAAACAAAGCAAAGCTAGTCCAAAGCTGCACTACACATATTGGAACATGGAATCTGAGAAGCATGAGCCAGGGAAAGCTAGAAATAGTAAAAAAAGGAAATGGCACACATAAACATAGCAATACTAAGAGTGAGCGAGCTAAAACGGACAGGAATGGATCACTTTGACTCAGATAACTACATAGTGTTCTACTCAGGAAATGAAAAGACACAAAGAAATGGGGTGGCTTTTATACTAAGGAGAGATATAGCAACAGCAGTCAAAGGATACAACACAAAGTTGGACCGAATCATGTCAATAAGGCTTCAGGAGAAAACAATAAATATTACCATAATCCAAATATATGTGCCAACCACAGAGGCAGACGAAAAAGAAACTAAGAAATTATATGAAGGAGTCTAGGAAGTAATGGACAACACACCAACACATGACTTCAAACTAATCACTGGTGACTGAAATACTAAAACAGGCAGCAAAGAAGAATCAAAAACAGTAGGAACTAAGCACAAGAAATGAAGCAGAAGAGAGACTGATAGAATTTTGCAAGGCCAACAACCTATTCATTGCAAATGTCTTCTTCATATAAACAGAGAGGAGACTATACACATGGGCATCTCCAGATGGCGAATTTAAAAACCAAATAGACTATATAATTGGAAGCAGAAGATAGAGAAGCACCAATGAGGACTGTGGTACAGATCATGAACTTCTTATATCAAAAAACAGAGTAAAGCTGAAGAAGAAAGCAAAAACCAACATTATACCAAAATATGATGCAAGAAATAGATTTATGATACTAAGCTTATTAAGTCGGGAACCAGAAAAACTATAATCAGAAGCCAAGGACATAATCAAGGAAGAATTCAGAAAGATAATATTGGTGGCCAAGAGAGAGAGAGAGAGAAGAAGAAACAATGGATAACAGATTAAATGCTTCAAGCAGTTAATCAAAGAAGAAAAGTAAAAGAAAGGGGAGCTAGGAACAAAACCAGAACCATGAATGCAACTGTTTAATGACTAGTGCTCAAGGATAAAGATAACTTCTATAATAATCAATGCAGAGAAACAGAAGACAATAACAAAAAAAGGAAGAACAAGATCTCTCTTCCACAAGATCTGGGAATCCAAAGGGGCTCATTCTCACTATGATTTACATCGATTTTCTGATTGCTGTATATGTGCCTCGTCCCCATTGGAAACGGTTTCTGATGCAACTGCGATCATTCAGACTCACTTTGAAGTGAGATAAATAGGGGAAAAAATCACTCTTTTCAGACACTAGTTTTTTGGTGGTTCTTTTGGAAAAAATTGATTCAGAGGAATGTTCAACCAGTGAGAATGAGGGATCTGAGTCGTATCTCACCAGTCAGCTCCCCAAAGTGGAGGGTTAGGGTTAGGGTGCAGGTCGGCTCCCCGGTCCCACCTCTGGGCGACAGGCAGCCACTGCCACCTCCCAGCAGGAGTCTCCACACCCCCACTGACTGACTGCTTGCCCACCTGGCCACGTCCGCAGCCGCCTCGCCCATAGCAACCTCATGAGCTCTGCTAAGGACTTCACCAACCAGATATGTGCTGCAGGAAGGGCAAATAAGATGGGGGACCCTCCTTCCCTCCCTCGGGGGCTCAGCTGGTGCCTGGTGGTCCGAAGGGAGTGGGAGGCCCAGCAGGGGGGCCCTGATGCCTCATTACTGATCGCCCCTGTCCCACAGACAGCCCTGGGAGCCTCTCTGATGACCTGGGCCAGGGAAGAGGGGAGCCCCAAGGGAGGGCTCCGGGGCGCTTCCCGGAGCAGTGAAAGGGTTTTTTCCCTGGGCAGTCGAAGGTGGAGTGATCGGGGGTGGTGGTGGTCCCACTGGCTCCAGCCTGGGCGTGATGCCGCCGCTTCCCTCCCTTTCTCCCTCCTTGTCAGCATGCCTGCTCCATCTCGGGGAGCCTCTGGGTTCCAGCCAGGCAGGATCGGGGCCTCAGAGAGTGCTGGGGGTTACCGTCTCTCTCTCCCCCAGCCTCTCCATCTTCCTCAAGAAGTCCTGGGCCTGGAGGGTTGGAGGAACCCTGTGCAGTCTTCCAGGACAGAGCCCAGAGGAGGATTTCCCCCTGAGCCAAGGGGCCCTTTTGCCCATTCCTTGCCCCCCTCCGCCGCTGGTGAGCTGAGCCCTCCACACTCCTCCACTTAGACCCTTCGGCTGAGAGGAATCTCCATCAGGACCACCTGGGCGCCAGGACCGGATACTCCTTCTTGTATCCCC